AATCATTGCACCCTTGTTTTCTGGATGTGCTGTTACCACCCAGTCACCCCACTACTTTTCCTCAGGGAGAAGTGGCTGATAGCATCAGTTTGTTACCCAAGTCTTGAAAAACAGGGTACAAACATTACTGCCAGCTGGACAGTGTCGCTGAACAGCCTGATGACTGGGACAATTCCTTATGTTACAGGAATCTTTGTTAGAGGCTTGCATTGTACAGTTCCACCACATCCCATTTGGACACTGCAAACCAATACCATGAGGAAGGGAAACACAGCCCATCCCCCACCCTCCCCAGCTGCCATCTTGCCTTTCACAGCTCAGAGACTACCAGCTCCCTCGTGAAGGAAGGGCTTTATTTTGCCCTTTTAGGAGGGACCCAAGGCAGGTGAGGTGGCTGGAGCATTGGCAGAGCTGGTTTCGCCTCCCGGGTGAGTCACCGAGCTGCCTTGCCTCCATCAGGTGCAGTGTAAATCCAGACCAGTGCCTGTTCCTTTTCATTAAGAGCCTTGAGCTCACTGCAGGAAAGATGAAAAGGGTTGGTCATTATCCATTACATGTGACCCATTCACTTGCTGATGGGCTGGTTTTCATCTCCCTGCCCTGCCTGTAGGCAAGCATCCCCCAATACCCTAATCTGCTTTTTTTGTTCTCCACCATTTATTTTCCTAGGAGCCTTGTCAATAGTGGCTCCATTCCCTTCCCATGCCTCCCAGCGCTGTAGATTCAGAAGCCTTAAAGGGTTCCAGCTCACGGTAACACATTCCAGAAAGTCTGACCGCTTATTATAAAGCCAGTGTAGGAAGGATTTGAGAAAAGCACGATGTAACAAGAGAGCTGGGTAAATGCAGAGCACACGCAGCCTGGAAACGCTCGAAGGTGAACGGGAAGGGGAGGCGGGGGCATTTGGAAGCCCATTAAATGAGAACTTATCATCCGATTTATGTAAATCACTTCAAATGCCTTCATTTATTAAAAGTATTAAGCGGCATTACTGTTTGCCTTTGGTCCCCTAATTTGGTTGCTAATGTCTAAAACAACTGTTGAAATTAATTTGAAATTAATGTTCCTATATAATTACTTAATGAATCTCACATTCACTGCCCTTAGCTCGCAGTCGACAAAGGATCTCTCACCCGCCACATGAAAGAGGTTGGAATACCGACTGTGATTTTAAAACGGTTGCTAAATTATAGTTTGCAAATATTTTCCATTTATATCACACACTTCATCTTGAAGGATCTCACTGTGTTTGAAATGTTACATAACATTTATTCTTTAGTAAAATTCCACCACAAAAACTTTCTGGGCATCAATCTTCTTATTTCCCTGCATGTCTTGAAATTAAATCAAATTTAGCTGTATCATTATGCAAACAAAAAATCATACCTGCATTAAAAGATTATTATTAGTGCTGTAAAGTCAGACAGTTAAAAGATAGGAAATGCTGGAACTGAGACTCTGAGCAATATAAGTTCCTTTTCCCATACATATGTCTTCTCATAGTCTTTAATTTTATGATCACATATTTTCTTATATGCACCCCTCTCTCAGGGGACTTATTAGTCCTTGTTAGTGTTCAAGAAAAAACAGGATAAGAAAAAAATAAGGTTCAAGAAAAAGCTGGCAGGGAGAGGTAGCCATTTGTGGAGTCCTTGCCTCATTCCTTACAAAAGCTGCACAGGTTGTAATGCATGTGCCTCCTTTTCTGGGTGGCTGACTTGGTACCCCATAAATCCTGATTGGCAGACATGCTGAATATGCACAGCAGTAACTGAAGCTAAAGAAACATTTGAACGTGCAGAGCATTTTACATACTACCAAACCCAGTGAAAGATGAGGTCCTGGGATCTCACACTTAAAATAATCGTACACTTCAAAGGGGGGAAAACACTTCTCCCTCTCCCAGGGACAGTGGAAAATGTATTTGAGCAATTGCAAACCTGCCGAACTGCTGTGTTATGGAGACCCACATGTACTGTTCTCTCCAGCACCACGTGGACACGGTGCAGCAGGAGGGGAACAGGACACACTGTGACCCAGCAGCAGCAGATACCTGGGGAAGCTGCTGGTGCTGTTGCACAAGCTAGCAGAGGGAGGCAGGCGCCAGGGGGAAACAGCAAAGGCTATTTTGAAACAAAAGGGCCGAATTTAAGGCCTTCCAAACAGCCTTACTTTGGACTGCGCACCATTCTGTGTGCTTACCTGTGACTTTGCATTTCTTCTTAGGTGTGTATGGCTTCTTAAGGATCAAGGCAAAGCACTGAGTGCCTAACATTGGCAATCAGGAATGTTCCAGAGCCTTCCTCCAAATTAGTTGAACGCTTTGCCTTGACACATCCTCAGCATCTAGGTCACAGCAAGTCACCCTCCCCACACTGCAAAACACCCCCTCCTTCGTCTTGCAGAGAGCTGTAGATGTGTGCCACATAGCCTGGCATGGCTCAGAGTAAGGATACTGGCCAAGAGTTCCACAGCTTGGCTGAGGGATGGGCCAGTGAAGAGGACAGGTCCTCAAACACGGACAACATCAACCTAAATCTCCTTCCTACAACCGGGAACAGAGACTACCCAGCAGCCCACACCCAGCCATCGCCACGCACACACCTCCACGTGCTGTCCTACTTTCTGAACTAGAAAGACCAACCGCTCCTCCGCTCAGATCTTTGCCAAACCTCCCTCTCTTCAACACACTCCCACCCTTGACAGGCTGCAGATCTTCCTTCCGAAATCTGTCTTCTCTCAGTGGGTCCTCCCTCACAAGCCCAAAGTATTCCTGTCTCCCACACTTCATGCATTCCTCAGCTAACAGGGATCATTACAACACCTCCAGGAACAACCGCCAAAGGAAACCACTCCCAGCAAGGCCAATCTAAAAAACTCAAGTCTACAAGCACACAGGAATACTAGTTCCTTTTAAAGGTGAATAGCAGGAACATTAGGATGAAATATACTGTGACATCCTGGCCAACCACCTCAACATCCTTCTTGAACACCAAAGCTGTCAAAAGTGAACCAAATGGGCACAAAGTTCCTGGCTTGCCTCAAAGACAGCAATTTAAGACCATATCATCAAACTGACCTTCAATGCAGATTGCTCTCCTTTTTTCCAACTGGGGATTTCATACCAGAACCCAGCAGTTGAAGACTGATACTGTGAGAGTGCAGAGCCACTACCTCAGCCTAGGCTTCCATTCTAATTCTGCTTTTGTGAAAAAGAGGGAAAGATAAAGATGCTAATACAACTGAGACTCAGCAAAAACAGCAAAAAACTCAGCAAAAAGCCCCTTTCTTGAGGCAAAGGTGCTTTTCCATCTCCATGGCTTCCTCCTGCTGCTTGCAATCACTGGGACAAGGCTAGTTTAGTCAGGTTTTCAGAGTCCTGTAATGGAAAGCAGCTGTCCCTATCCAGATTGCACCAGACATCTCCACAATTATTTTGTCATCTTCTTTTGGTCAGTTGTGTTACTCAACTTCCCAGTACTGCTGTGTTAATAACAACAGCAATCCCAGGACTGGACTCAACATACCTTTTTCCTAAATTTCCAGCACTAACCTGAGGATGTTTGTATTGCTATTTGCCATTCAATACACAGACTTTACATTTGTTGTGTGTCAAATTATGAACTCCAGAACTCGTATTCTACTGATGTGGGCTGCATGACCCACATATCTCAATGTGAACAATTTAAGCGACTAGGGCAAGCCCACTTGAAAAGCCTTCCCTTTCTTTTCCCAAACTGCACAGAGCTGGACAAACTGCCAACATTCACCACCACCTGAGACATTCAGTTTTGCAGAACCATTCAGATGGCAATGAAGTTCTCAGTCTTTACACAGCTATCTTCAGAATGCAGTAAGTCACAGTGAATATTGCCTCCACCATTAAAATAGCACCACCCAATAATTTTGGGGAGGGGAAACTTCCTCATATTTTGCATTAATCAATGTCATTACAACATAAGATACTCAGTTATTTAGTTAACAAGGTCAAATAACTGCATGTCCATGAACTATACCTTTATTCTGAAAGCTAACTTTAAGTAACAATTAAGTCTCCATTTCTCTAAGTAAACAGCTAAAAAGCTAGTAGCTCTAATTCCGTATGTAACTATAGTTTGCCCTCTATTAAAAAAACCCTAATTTAATTTGGAGCCATGGCTGCCATCTCCCTCTGTCTTTGCATACACCAGCTTTAACAGGTCCTTTGGGGAGCGTTCATGAAGTGGTAATAGGTGTGGTAATTCCCACTTTCTGTTTTCTAGTTCAGAGAGTAATTGAATCCAGCCACTACCGCGCTATCTTTCTGGCAAATCTTGTTGGCCTCCATGAAATGAGTTGGAAGTTTGATTTCTGTTCTCCGCAGGCATGTTTGCGTGATACAGATGAACTGCTGTAACTGGCAAATTGGAGGCAATTTCAGCAGAGACTCCTAGGCTTAAATAAGTGCAAGAACAGAACTTTCACCTCCAGAGAAGTCTCATCTTTAATAGTCCTGAGAAATGACAGGACGAGATTGGTGAGTTTGGATTTCTGTTGTTGCAAGACACTTTGAACTCTGTTTTATTAAACCAGCACTCACCTGAAATAACTAAAAAAATACACCACCAAGTCATTATGAAATAAAATGCTGAGGCAATACAAGCTTTATCACTCTCTAATACTGCTTCCAATCTCTGCTGCATTTTAATTGGAATACACAAGTATTTTATTTCCTGTGACACCAGTATTCATTAGTCTTCATTCTGGTTACACATGTTTAGCCCCCGGACAGCAGCCAGTGCAAGAGCAAGAGCTCCTGACAGACCACTAGTGGCATTCCAGGCAGGTCCGTGAATTGCGCCACACAAGACACTTCAGAACCAAAATACAACGTACCAGGTGAGTAGAGGCTAAATGTATGACCAGGCTAAGATTAAAAACTTTATTTTTTATACAAAACAATAATAAATCCAAGCAGATAATGAACTAAGTGTGTCTTCCCATTTTCCATCTTCTTTTCTCAATAAAGTCTATCCACAGTTCAGTGTTAAACCACTCCATATTCTGCAAAAGCTATGACGTTTCCATCTTGTATCCATGTTTTTCTAATTCAGCTCTGTATAGAAGAGAGACAGATATATTGAAACACATACACAATACTGTTAGATATATGGTTTTTTTAAAAAATTAAATATACTACACAATATACAATCATTTTAAATAGCAATGTCGTACTGCTTTTTTATTTATACCAATTACCTTAACCTTACTTACTCTGTAATTCTTAAACTCCAGTTTCTTATCTTAAATCACTGTGACTTCTCAGTGAAAAATTCAAATATTTGTTTTAATCACAGTTCTTGCCCTCTGACCCACCATATGGCACGAAGTAGCACCTATGCACCTGCAGCATCTCCAAATTCACTAGAACAACCAAATAATTATCTTATACATACTCTCAAGCATCTTATACATTATTCTCAATGTTTCCTTAACTCAAGCAAACTCACTATTCTATTTGACTTAATTGCATGTGCTTCCAAAACAACTGTAAGCTTTTTTTTGCTTTTAGAATAGTGCAGTCTGGAATTGTTATTTATGTCTTGCTGCAATACACCTTGCAGTGAACAATTCTGAGGGAAACGATTGCTTTGTTGTCCTTAGTTGTGGCCAGGACAGCAAGTCAGGAACTACATTTATCACTCCTGCCCTGCCACCACTTCGCCTCTCACCTGCCTCTGAACACCAGCCAGGATGCATCCTGTTTTATCCTAGCACATGTGTATCTAGATACAAAAGTACAAATCTCTAAAAATATTTTGGGTTAGTTTGCACATTTAGTAGTAGGACTTTAAAAGTGGAGGACTGCAGTGTCTGCTTTCTAGAGATGGAAGAAACATGCTACAACCAGGCAACACTGCAAGCCACTATAAGGTCACCAATACCACAGGCTGCAACTAAGGCCTTACACAAAGTTTGTCTAGATCAACTATGTCTATCAAGAATTATACTATTTCTTGAAAGTCTGTTTCATTACATGTTTTCCAATATTACCATTTAACTGCCTTTGAACCATATATGAAATAACTATGCCAAAAATTTTTTTTTTGCAGAAGACACAAAAATAATTCCTTTCCCTGTAGTACAAGGGAGATCAACCCAGGAACTGTTTAAGCAGGCTGTACTACAGACAGTTTGCTCCTCATGCAACACACTGAGGGATTAATTATAAAATCTGGCTTTGTTCTGGATGCTTGAAACAATTTAAGTTATAATTATGCGTCAGTAAAGGATTACTGAAACTACAAGTGACAAAGAGGATTAAGCAACTGGTTTAGAGGTACACAAATTGCTATCACTTCTTTTAAAGCATGTAATTAACAATTACTTTGCTGTTGTTGCTCATAAACAGTATGTTCATCACATAGGAAAGAACTTTAACGTTAATACAGATCACTAATCTCCAGAAAATTTGCCATTTGGACAAAGAACAGCAGTGCTGTTTTAAAGTACAGACATAAAAACTGTAACATACTTTGCACACCACATAGCACAAAGGGATAATCTTGGATGCCTTGCCATTAATTTTGGCAGTACAATTCAGAACTTTCACACACACACATACAAAAGTCATTAGAAAAGGATCCACTCATGTTAAATTGACAAAGTGTCAACTATAGCTCAACTTTCCATGATCTTTGCATTGTTTGCGTAACAGAGCAAAATTCTGTCACCACAATGTCCTAAGGCATTTTCAGTAGAATTATTCGAAGATGAAATGCTGATCAGTACTTCAGAGTCTTGTAATCCCTAACTCTGGGTCTAAAAGGCTTTAAACAGAAAAGCAAAAACTAGAGCTTTCATTTATTTCCATTTCAGATCTTGATTTCTTTAAAATAAGCAGATCTCAAACTTTTAGATATTAACTAATCAACTCCATTTAAAGTATTTTACCTGTCTTATAGAACAGAAAGTTTAAATAAAATTACCTTAACTGATTCGAGAAATCATCTTCTACATTGTCATCATCCCAGTTGTCTTCCCAGACATGTGCATCTTCATCTTCATCTAAACCAGTCCAATCTAAAGACAGAAAAGCAGGTCTAAATATTGGATCCTGCACTGCTTTGGTAGCATGTCTTACTGAGCAATTAGCTCAGCCAGAGGGAAAGGCAAACTTCTGGTAAATTTAACAGAGAAGCCTGGAACACATTCAAGTGTTTATGAGACAGGAAGATCTACAACACATCTCAAAATTTCTGTAATTACAACAAAAACCAAACTTGGTGGAAAAAAATCATTACACACACATCATGGCTTGCAAGATTAAATATTCCTAAGAGATATTTTGCATACTTATGGATAAACTGTAGCATCATCCTTCCAGATTTGTATTTAAACACCTTTTCCAGATTAAAAAAGTAAATATGCATCAGATGCTTTTGCCAAAACACAGACACATTCTCTGTTCCCTCAAATCAGATGCAGTCAGCCTATGGACAAACGACAAAAACTATCTGTCATGCAGAAGCAAACGCAAATTGAGACAAGCATCTGCAAACAGCACTAGATACCTCTAATCAACTATTTCTGAGTTCCCAAGACAGCAGAAGCTGTCTTGCCTTTGTAGGGAAACACTTTATGTCCATTTACTAACTTTATTTATATTTTTCCTATACTAAAGTAATCTGGCACATCAGCCTTGACAAATTACTCATCACACGATCTTTAATTTTTTTCTAATAATGAAACAAAATAGTTCAGAAAAATAATGTAAATGAAAGGCTCAGAATCAATATGAAAACATAAGTTGACTTACTTGATTTTTTTTTAGTTTCTCAGTTTATTCCTACTAAAAGACACACAGTTTTTCAAATGTCAAAAAAAAAAGAACCCCCCCCCTAATTTTGACACTTGCAACTTTTTATTTCTCAAAGTCTATTACTTTGTAACACTGTTCTTCCCCTTTCATTCTAGTAAGCCATCTGTTGCCCATGCACAGAAAGCTTTGAGGACTAAGGCCTAAAGTAACATTAAACACTGATGAAGGCATGGGGGGAGCAGGGGAGAAAATTAGTGGGGTAAAACATCAAAAACTAATTCACTGTGAACAGCTAACTTTCTAAGAATGAAGCCTGGTCTTTGCATTTTCTCCTCCTTTTTCTAACACTGACAGGCAACAAAATTAATATTTGAGATTCACCAGGACAGGAAAATCCATTTGTCACTGATTAAAGACACACGTGTGGAAGGCATTACAATTAGGTTTCCTACTCAAATAAATTATATAATAGGAAAAGATGAAGGAGAATAGAAACTGTGCTGTGAGAGCAAAAGAAAAAAAACTGGGAAGAAAAGGTGAAGAAAAAATGTTGCATATAAAAATGCATTGTTTGGATTTAATCATATTGCTAGTTGTTCAAAGGGAAGGGCTTATCCTTTAGAACTACCCGCAATAAGCTTTGCCCTTGCCAATTTATATTCCATTGATTTTTTTTTCAAAAAATAAACAACTTTACTGATTAACTGGATTTTGAAGAGAAAAAAAAAAGCTCAAAAACCTTAATATTAACACAAAGTCAAACTTTTCTATCTACAAACATCTAAGTAGCTCAGACAAAACTACAAACTTGAAAAAAAAAAAATCTCCCAGTAACTCATATCCAGCAGCTTCAGTCACAGAAGATCAGCAGGGCAGATTGCAAAAAGATGCTCTAAATCACCCTGAGTAAAGAGGAGTCAGAAAGGCACAGCTCAGCTTCCTTGCTGGGGTGGGGAGGGGAGTGAAAGTAAAGCCTAAATTACATTCTCATCCCTGGAGGACAAGGTTCTGCAGCATCTGTATATTGAAACTATTATCCCAGAATTGTACAATGCAGTTATTACTCCCTGCTACATTATTTGCCTGTGACTAAACAAAACTAAAAAAGGTAGAGCATTACCTGGGATTTAAAGTATTAAGGTGACTTAAGAGTCCACTACCATTAAGTATTACTAATATACACCAAAATTACAAGCTTGTCATGGCTGAACTCCTTAAAAATATACTTTTATATGCTGATCACTGATTGCTTTATTTTGTACTTGGGAAACAAAAAATAATTTTTCGGATTTTAGGGTTCTTTATCCCCTGCTCTATTGCTTCACATTTTTATATTCTGAAATGCACTGTACAAAAGATTCTTAAGTGACTCATTTACATGTATTTTCATCTACTATAGTATACTTATGCTATACTTCAAAGTATCCCATAAAAATTGGGCATGTCTGGTTTTGATACATAACTTGATTTCATAAATTGTTTAAGTAAATTTTTAGGTTGGAATAAACCCCAAAAGTCCATGTTTTCATCCCTTAACATAGGGATGAAATTATCTAAATTTTCTTTGGATAAAAACTGGGTAATAGAACACAAACTTCTTCTATTGCTAGAAAGTGGTGTTTTAATTTGAAACAACAACAATTTGGACTGGGTTTGAGCCCAGTTATCACAGTTCTTTCCTAAATACTGGAGATAACAGACAAAGTGGTCTGAACACCCAACATCTCAAAACTATAACCTCACTTGAGGATTCAAATGGGGCCTTTTAAAGGTTTTTATTTTCTGCAAGAAAGAACATCGAGAAGCCTGACGATGGTCACTTTTTAGTAAGTTTCTGTTCCACCCAGAAAGCCTGCACAGTACTTTGCTTTAGCATTACAGCTGGAGTCAAGCAAAACTAATTTCACCTTCTGTAACAGCAAGTCAGGGCTCTGCCCAATCCAAGGTCCAGAAGCTTCAGAGACTTCCCCTACTGTGAATACTTAATTTATATTAAATATTTTTTTTTCTATTTAGGAAACACTTATGAAAAAGAAAGTACGGTCTTGTAAATTTATTTTTGCTAATATCCTAACTAGGTCATGAACTTTATTAGTACCCGCAAAAACATTAATTTTAGCAGAACTAAAGGGCTCAGAACACCTAAGGCTTGTAAGGCCACAGAAAAACCACATGCAATAAGGACATTATAAAAAAAAACCTGATGTTACATTCATCCTGATATATATAATTTCTCATAATCCACACCCTGAGACAGAATTAAGGACATAAAAAGTAAACATACCCTAATAGGGATGTTTTCAAGACTATCTCTGGGACACTGTGTTGTTTTATTGAATTTAACTTCCTTACTAAGTATATTTGTACCTACGAAAAACAAAATAGCATATATATATATCTGTGCTTCAATAGGTAAAGAGACTAAGAGTAACTACAGAGCGCAGCATTTCATTTTCACACATTTTTCCACCTTACGCTCAAGTTTCCGGCCCTTGTCCCTCCTCTGCCTTGCGATTCTCATCTCCAGTGTCAAAAAGCAGTAAACTTCTCCCGCACTTGTTCCCAGCCCTCTGGCACAATGACACAGCACTTCCAGCGCGATGTGCCCAGCGCCGTGACACCTCCACGGAGCCGGGCACGGGCACCACGATCGCGCTCGATCGCGGTCTGACGGCGCGGCAGCCCCTGCCCGGGCGGGGGCTGGGCAGGGACCCGCGGGGCACCGGGGAAGCTCCCGCGGGGTCAGCCGGGCCCTGCGGAGCGGCAGCACGGCGCTGCCCCGCGGAGCGGCC